AACTCCAAAGACCATGCCAGGAGTTTCTTCGGCTAAACCCGGCACGAGCTTCTCAACACCAATTGCTGTATTCAACTGATGTACGTCGAAGCGACGAGCTTTCTTCGAGAGCAAGAACAAGAGTAACAGCAAGAGGATTTTCACCGACCCTTTTCTTTTTATTTCTTCTTGTCTACCACAAATTTCTTTATTTTTTCCTTATCTCTCTCCTCGTCTCTCGTAATCCGGTTTGCGCGACACCGCTTTGACTCGCGAAGGGGATCAATGATGCTAATGGTTTTCTTTTTTTTTTAAATTGGGATCTTTAGTGTCAACGGCAATCGTGATTGATCAGCAAACTTCTTTCGGGTTTGTTTTAATCTCACGGCTTTTGAATTTGAGATCGAGGATTCTGAGACTCAAGGGTGGAAATTAAGAATGAATTTGTTATTTATAGACACAGATTTTGATGTTAACTTTGTTACTTTTTGTAAGAAAAAATTTTATGCAAAAGTTTGTCTTGATAAAGAAGTTTAATCAAACTTCCAAATTTTTTTACTAAAATGAAAAACTTTGGTTGTTATTTACAAGTGGGGTCAACCTCATTTTGGGCCATAATTAGGTAAAAAATTTAAAAGTTTTTTAGCCTTTAAAAGTTGGAAAGAAAAATTGGTTTTATATTTTTGGATAAAATTTCTATTTTATCTTTTTTTGATGTTTTTGATATATTTTTTTTAAAAAGTACATAAAAAAAAAGAACAATTTAGAAAAAAAAAAATGATCAATTTGATCAAAAAAATAAAAAAAAAAATTTAACATGGCCCAGCAGACCCCACTTGTAAATAATTACCAAAACTTTTATTGAAAAAAATATTTTTGATAATTATCGAAGATATATTTTCTTGTCTGAAGAATTAATCAAATTTATTAAAATTTTTTTTTATCTATTCTAAATAAATTTTTACACTGATAAAAATATTAAATTGATAAATTAATTTAAGAGTAAAAATTAAACCGAGAATATCATTTTGATGAATGTGATCATTAAAAATAAATTTAGTTAATTTAAAATGATGAAATTTTTCAAAATGATTTTTCTGATTCAAAATTTCTTTCTTGACTCATGTTAAATTTTTGTATCAGTGTATTATTTCATAAAATATGAACTTAAAAATTGAAAAAGAAAAAAAATTCTCTACTATTATTTTTAAGTTGTAATTTTTACTATTTTTTGTTTATAAAATTGCTAATTTAAAAAATTTCGAATTTTACTAAGACAAAAATTTTGCATAAAATTTTTTACAGATCGTTAAAGTAATATAATTAAAATTGTATATAAATTATGTAATAATTTATTTGAAAATCAGTGCAATACATTCCATTGTCGTCAGTACTATCAGTGTCCATCTTGGCCGCGGGTGAATAAAAAAATATATATAAATATAATAAGTGGGAGTAGAGTGAAAAATGCTGGATATGATGTCTGGCGGGTATTGTATATTATGTAGATATAATAACTGTGATTGTGATATTTGGCGTTTTAAATGCAACCTCGATGTAAGTAGATGTAGCGACCGTTGTAATATTACTATATTATATATAAATAAAACTATGAATATGAATGAATATATTGATCTCGAATGGTTGAAATGGTTAGAGTATAGTATAAGAATGTCAGGAAGAATTTAAAAGACATTACCTCGACTTGAAATTAAAAATAATACAATATAATATAATATATAAAGTGGACTGGTGAGCTGAGACTCGAGTGTTGACAGTTTTATCGGCTACTCATTTATTTATAATTTATAATTTATAATCAACTGTACAGTATTTGGAATATAAACCGTTAATTAAATGTAGCGACAATCTGTATAAATTAATTAATTTAATGAATAAAAGACACTGTATAAATTATACATAAATGTTACTCATCGCTTATGTATTATATCTCTGATTTAATAAATGGCAAATATATCCTATGCTTTATTATGTTACTCTTCATTCAAAATATTAATTTCCAGTTTAAGTTTTACATTTTTTTTTATACTGAGTTAAAAAAAATATCTGAAAATTTTTTTTAAATAAATTATTATGGAATAAGCAAAATTTTGTGGCCAGTGTATTTATATGATAAAATAGATTTTTATGGTTAAATTTGGTATCGTTGGAAAAGTTTTGACCTGGAATTGTGCCTTTTCATGGTTTCACATCATTCTCACCAATAGTCAATTTATGATGATAAGTATTTAGGCTGCATTCGAAAACGCTCTATTTCTAGATACATAATTAATAAATTACCCTGTATCTCGTGAACTATTGACATTTTTAAAAATATAAGCTCATCCCGATGTTACACTCATCAAGACCTTTCATTTAAGTACCCACATCATTTTTTCATATATTTATATATATTACATATATGTATATATGAAAAATATATCAAAATGCATGTGGGTGCTCAAATGAAAGCTCTTGATGAGTGTAAAATCAGGATGAGCTTATATTTTAAAAAACGTCAATATTTAAGAAAGTACAGTGCAATTTAACAAATATCTTGTGAAATATTGACATTTCTAAAGATATAAGCTCACCCCGACATTACACTCGTCGAGACCTTTCATTTGAGTACCCACATTGATTTTTCATATATTTTATATATGTATATATATTATGTATATGTATATATGAAAAATATATAAAAAATGCATGTGGGTACTCAAATGAAAGCTCTTGATGAGTGTAACATCGGGATGAGCTTATATCTTTAAAAACGTCAATAGTTAAAAAATTACAGTGCAGTTTAACAAAAATCATTATTTAATAAAGCAAAATTTTACTTTATTTATAGTCCACAAGTCACGACAGTCAAATTTATTGAATTTTGTTTTTATAATTCAAAATAAAAATTGAAATTCATCACAAGACTTAATTTTTTACACGAAATGTCTGTTAATTTCATTTCTTAATTTTTTTATACAAAAAAAAATGTCCGGATTTGATATAAATAATCTATATGACCTCATATAAACTTATTATCATCAATTGGCGGTGGTGTTATTGTTTCCGATGATATTGAGGACAAAGAAACTTCTGTTGATTGGTACGAGAATTAACTACAAGGCAATTGCTGGAATCGTAAGCATTTAATCAGGATCCCGGCAGTAGGGAGCCGATTGTTAACAGAGCATATATAGTGAGGGGATGAAGAATCTGTAGGAGCTTTTTATTTTGTTGGAAGCTCAATTGAATGATGGTAGATGGTATTAAGCCGCATTTTTTCTGTCCTTCGGTAAAAATAATTTTCTCTTGTCAAATGATTGGTTACATCTTAGTATCTTGTATCTTGTATAAATCCATTCCAGCTAGGCTGGAAAATATTGTGACCTGATAATTTTTTCAACTTTTTGCTAAGAAAATCAATAATTTTCAAAATTTTTAAATTCTGTAAATTTTTATAGCAGAAAATTTCATGGATGGCCGCAGGGTCAACCGTTTTTCAGATTTTTTGTGAGATAAGGATGTGGACATCCGCATCATGAGGGTGAGCTCAGTGACACGCGATGACACTGGAACAGTTGAGAAAACAACTTCATTTCTCAACGCTTCTGTAAGATAACTCTCACAGTTTTTTGTTACGGTTTTTTCTTTGAGAATAATATTTGGGTGTATTATCACATTTGGTTCAAATAGTTCTTAGAAATTTTTTTTGTCTGTAAAATAATATTTGTTAATGACATAAATACGAAGTAGTTTTGAGATTAAACTAATTTAGAACTACGTCGTTTGAAATTTTTTTTATATAAATTATATTAATCAGCCTTTAAATTTTTATTTATTTTCATATTAATATAACTTCATTATTTTTATTAATAAGCTTTTGATTGTAAATTTCATGCTTTATAATTACATAATTAAATATCAAGATTGATCCTTGTTAAATTTGTAAAAACTATTTTTTTAGCATTTTATAGGTAAGAATTTTAATTTTCAAAAATTGACCTAAGATGTTATAAAAAATTTTTTACAATAAAGAAACTTTATTATTATAAATAATATTATTATTTTAAAGTTTCATTGTATCTCTACAGAAAAAAAAAAAAACTTTTTTTTCGTTGTAGAACAAGTTTTTTTGAATTGAGAAAAAATTTTCTTACCCCATAACTATTTAGATTCTATTAAAAATTTTTTTCTTTCAACTTAACTTTCTTATAAAATTTTTTTAATGTGACATATCAAAATTTAACAATTTAATTTTTTTTTTAAATAAAATCACTTATTTAGAAATAAATAAAAAATAATTGAAGATAAAAATTATAAAATTAATTAAAAAAAAAAAAAAAAAAACTATACGTTTTTATTCTTCTTATTCTTCTCTCCTTAAATTAAATAAATTACAAAGTCATAATAAGCAATTTAGCCAAAAAGCAATTAAGCAACCATATTAATGAAAGTCTAATCACAATTAAAGCAAAGTCACAGATCATAAATAAAGCGGTGACTTGAAATCAATTTACTAAACTGTGGATTAATTTAATAACAAGCTGAGAGAAATGGGAAAGGGGAAGGGGAGACTTGCTCTCTAATGCATTTGTATTATCTGTCCGTATATATCTGTAGACATGAGCTCGAGCATGAGCATGAACATGAAGATATTGGTGGACAAGTAAGAGCAGGGCAGGAAAAGCCGATCGTCGAGTGTGGAGTATACATGACAGGGGGTTGGAGGACAAGGGGATTGAGGAGCCACATGAAGCGTAACAAGGGGTATTGTTACTTCGGAAGGTGCCCCCCTGGCAGCGTGTACCGACCCCATCTCTATCTAGTCACCCTCCTCAGTCGTGTACTATTCAGTTGGCTAACAGGCTGTTATGATTAAGTTTGCGCGAGCGAGAAGACCATCAACTTGCATTACAGAAATAGAAACTACGTAAACTGTTTTGTTGGAATTACTGTTCTACTGTTGCTGTCGCGAAACTGTTACGAGGGGTGGAAGCTGTTACTGGGGAACAAACTATGGAATGACATACTGGAACCAAGAAACTAAAAGAGGACGGAATATCAAGTATTCTCAAATTATTATTATTATTTATTTATTTATTTATAAATGCCTTAACTTATTACTACAAAGAGTGAAAAGCACAATATTATAAGAAAAAACTTCAAACTAAGTCTTTATCTCTACCAAAAATTAATAAGACTATTAGCACAAAAAATTTTCATTATGTTGTAAAAAAAGATTTCAACTCCCTGCCTAATAATTATAAAATTATACTCTTAAACAATACAATAAACTAGATGGTATTATTTTTGCAAATTACAAGACTTGGATTTATATAAGCCAACTGAGGGTCTTGTTGCGGACTGGTTATCTGAAAAATTTCATCAAGATTTTGTCAAAATTGTATTCCAAATTAAGAAAATAATATTTCATAAAAAAAAAAAAAAAAAAATAATCAATTTTTATATCTAATATTTTCTAAACTTTATATCTTCATTAGTCTTACGTGTACTTTATTATAACTCTTTTTGTATACTTTTGCCATTTGGCTATACTGCCTTGGCATTGAAATGAAATAATAAATAAATAAATAAATAAAGATGCTTCTTATAGTCTTCTAAATACGTGTCGTTCGGCTCTTTCTTAAATTGTGCACGCAGAAAAATTTTTTGTTAAAGCAACAAAAAATAAATTGTGACAAAAAATTGTTATGTTGATATAGGGATAACAAATAATATGTTGTGTTAACAAACACATAGGTTATAATAAGTAATTCATATGTTCACTCAACAAAATTATTTTGTTATTGTAACCGAATCTTTTAATTATTTTAAAAAAATAGTTTTGTTGAAGTAACAAATCGATTTGTTAAAGCAACGGAATAGCTTGTTCAAGTAACAAATTTTATTGATAAGAAAACTATTTTGTTATTGCAACAAAAAAATTTATTATAACAAAGCGATTTTGTTAAGACAACAAAATTAACTTCAGAGCAGTAAAAACTCATTTGTTATTGCAGCTTAGTTGATCTTGTTAAATAAACTAGTTGATTTGTAAATTCATTTGTTATCACAGCATATTTTTTTGTTATCCCTGTTTTTGTTGTCCTAACAAATAATTTTTATGCGTGTGGGGAATATATTGGACAGAGTCCTTTATTATCTCGTTTGTTAAAAGGAATTTATAAAGAGAAATCCAGTACACCTAAGTATAATAAAATTTACAATCTTGATCCGGTTATTAATAAATTAGAACAAATAGCTCTATCACTTATTAAACGATCAAATATTGAAGAAGTTCAAAACGGTTATAAAATTCAAATTACGGATTTTATTAAGACGTCAAGTGGTTATCATCAACCTCTTTTTATTCTTCCTCAGTTTCCTGAAAATAAAAATTTGTGTGTTGCTTCAATGTTAGAAGCTTATTTAAAAGTTACATCTGATTTGTTAAACAATAACAAAGTAGAAACTTTATTTATGACAACAAGACAGTCTTTTAGAGCACCTTCAAATGATTCTATGAGCAGATGGTTAAAAATGTTCTTATTTAACTGTGGTATATCAAGTGAATATACTCCTCACAGCATCAGACATACTTCAACATCATCAGCTTTAGCTAAAGAAGTCGATTTCTCCGTTATCAAGAATCTTGCTGGCTGGTCAGAAAACTCAAAGGTTTTTAAAAAATTTTATAATAAACCTATTGTTCAAGATCCGAGTACATTTGCTGAGAGTGTGTTATTGTAAAAAAAAAAAATTGTTCGATTGAAAATTGGTAATAAAAAATAATTATATTTTTCAAATGGTACTCTGAACATCCTACAATGTAACCTCGAGAACAAAAAATGAGATATTTAATTATATGATCGAGTAAGGCAGGCGATGCTCGATCGTAATTATATTGATTGTTTCGTTCGAAAAGATCACACCCCGTCCTCTATTTATTATTATCTAAAAATCATTGTATTATCCCTCCCGTGACCTCTTCTAAAAACAACTACTTTAAACTGCACGAGACTGGATATATGACGGCATTACAATGTAGCTAACTTCCTTTTACTTATAGCTTAACCTTGTGGTGACAATTGGTGTGCGAAGCAGTACTACAATGTAATCTCTTCGAACGAAACAATCAATATAATTACGATCAAGCATCGCCCGCCTTGCTCGATCATATAATTATTTAATACTTATTTTACTCTTTTTTGTAAACTATGTACTGCTATTATTAATAATTAATATCTTTTGCTCTGTAATTAAATACTGTACCTATATCATTCTAGTACTGTGTGAAGGTGCTTGTACTTTTGTAGTGTATGTCGGAATTAAAACTACAATAAATATTATAATAATAATAATAATTCATTTATTTATTTTTAGAAACTTTCTTATACTTTTACTTAAACTTTTCCAACATCAGTAGATCCTTTCTTCATTTCTGTGTAATACTAATAGCAGTGTCGTCTGCAATAGAAATTAAACTACTGCATAACTTACCCCATTGAATGGTAGGGGAGATTAAGAGACTAATAAGATTGAGAAAATGAAAATACGCAGAACTGTTACTATTATATCTATACATTATACATAATGTATATGTATAATAGATAAGATGTTATGTGCATTTATTTAAAACGGGTGTTTTCAATTTCTCGAGTGCTCCCAATCCCGATTCCTAAATGTCGCCGTATTTCAGCGTCTTCGATGGCATAGCAATCGCATTTGTACGCCGTTTTATGTCTGCTCTATTTTATTGCCAAATATATCTGACAAATTGTTTCTGCATTATTTTTTAATAATACTTCATTGTGTTTTTCTTTGTTATTTATGGATTGCAATATCAACAGTTGTTTTTGAGATCTTAAGCTCCAGTGTTGATCTGTTCATGTAATTAATTGAAGGATTGCCAACTTTTGGTTACGGTAATCTTATATTAGTGTTTAAGCCAGCCATTGGTCGTGGAAAATGGTATAATTTTATGGAAAATAAAACTAAGAAAGTACGAGAGTGATTTTAAAGTTTATTTGGTTACTGATTTTAGTACTAAGTCTACTGATCAAAATGTTAACTGTATTAAAGAGTAAGAAAGTTGAAATAAAAAAAAAAAAAAAAAAAAAGAATTCTTAAAGTAAGTGAAATTTACATTATGGTTCAATTTCATCATTTAAAAATTTTGCCGCTTAATAATTTGTTTTAAATAGTTAAAAGAAAAAATCAAAAAATTTTGAGCAGAAAAAAAATTTTCTTGGCTCAAAAATCATTTATAAAAGCAATAAATTAGAATTATTTTTAAGCTTAATAATTATTTCAAAGACTGAATTTTGGTACCAACTCTAAAATTTCAATTATTTTTTTACCCATAAAAAACAAAATAAACTGACATAAATTTGACCAATAAACTTTAAATGTTACCCAAATGCAATAAATCTTGCAACTCATCTCTTATTTCGTTTATTATTTATCAAACTTTTTATTTTTTAGCCAATAAAATAAAAATAGTGGGTATAATAACGTCGAATGTTTTCCGATTTTCCAGGTATGATGTACTTGATGTAGTATGCACCCCCATTCCTAGACAGAGCCCCGATTCGCCAGGATACATTGACACAGACCCACACATTGGCACATATATGGACATTGGAGTATTTGGTTGCAGGAAGGTGTGTTGGGTAAAACACCGCGACTGGCAGTAAATCTCCTGGATGGCGCCCCGTCCGAAGCATAAAAATGTCGCATCGTGATATCTATCCAATACGATCGTTACTCTCCCAGTCTCTATCTCCATAAAACATTTAATATATCGAATACAAAAACACTTTAAATGAGTATTGCTCCGAAGAAAATAGTCCCGATTCGTTGCTGTAAGAAAACGGGGAAACAATGAAGAAAATTTCTGCAAGAAATATTATCCGTCTGAAGAATAACAAACAGAGCTAAATCATTTGAGTGGTTTAGATAAATTAAACTGCTATCGAAATTATAGCGAATTGGATGGAGCTCGAGGAAGAACATACGACCTAATACGTAATCGCTTTATCTTCTTAGATAATCTATGGTTGTGTGTAACTAAATAGTTTTGGCAAGTTCTTCTGAGAATGTGTGGGGCTCTTCACCGAAACCCCTTTCGGCACTTCCACCGACTCCTGACTCCTTCCACTCTCGCGTCTCGGGTCATATAAACCTCAACTCTCCTCTATATGTACCTTTTAAATGTGCACATGACTCTGTTATTTATCGCCCTGGATTCGGAAACTCTAATGGCCGAGCAGGACACCCGCTGACACTGCTATAAAACATCACTAATGGAACCAAAAATCATTTTTTCAACCCAAAGATTTCGTTCAACACTTACTTTAAGTACACTATTATTATTATTATCACTTACATATTACTTATTATTGCGAACAGTAGTAGGTTAATTTATTTTTTTGTTCTTTCAGGGACTGTCAAATTTTTGAAATTTGAAAAATCCTCCAATTTTTTTATCGTCATAAATAAGTGTAAAATTTATTTTAAAATTGGTTAAGGGGTTATACGCAATTGCAAGGCTAAAAAAACATTTTTTTATGAATTTTTTATAGACACAGTTTTTATTTATCAATTACAAGTGATGGGTATTTAAATAGAGCCTACTTTCAAGAATATAATAGCGCGTCAATCATGTAAAAATATAAATGTGCACCGCTTTTATAGAAGATGTTCCGAACGACATCTAAAAAAAAGGCGCTTGGCGGTGATCTCCATTTCGGCGATTTGGATTATCTGAAATCAAAAAATATAGTAAATTCTTTTGAAGGATAGATTAATGTAGGTATTGGACGAAGGAATAAGAAAAATTTTGATTTTTGACAAAATGGCGTCTATTTGGAAAAAAATTTTTCGTTTTTGTTATTCTAAATTGTTATAAAAAAAATACTAATAATTTTTTTTAATCTTCGTCCAATATCTGCATTAATCTATTCTTTAAAAGAATTCACCACATTTTTTGATTTCATATAATCCAAACCGCCGAAACTGAATTTATGTTAAAGTAAACATTTTTTTTTTGGTATTTTGAATGACGAAACTTTTTCTTGATCCAAAAATATGAAACAGTAGATAAAAAACATAATTGTTAGTTTTTGAGAAATTCTGTTTTTTGATAAATAATTTAATTGTTTCTTATGAAGACTATACTTTTGGTGCTTAGATTTCAAATTTCCTCTCAGTTAACAAAACAATTTTTAAAAAAATAAATTCTTGAAATAATGCAACTGATTTTTTAAAAATAATTTATTTTATATAAAAAATATTTCTTCTGAGTCAAAGAATTTTTTTTTCAATGTACTTATTTAATTTCTTGCACTAAAAAAAATCAAGAATCAAAGAGGATTTTTTTTAATCAAGCACGAAATTTCTCGAATCAAATAAAATTTACTTGATCCAAAAAGAATTTCTCCGTTCAAGAATTTATAAAAATAATTTTTTTGTTTCAAGAATTTTTCTCTCAAACCAACTTAATTTTTATCAGTGTCCATATCATAATAGTAAATAGTATAAGTAAAATAAAAAAAGCTTATGATTGTGAGCGAGCATGATTGCTGAAAAAAAAAATAAGAAGCAACACGACTTTTATACCCGGGTCTTGGATTTTCATATCGTTTTATCGTTCCTACATTCTCTTTCCCGTCATGTTTATCTTGAGAGCCGTTCGAGACTTCTAGCTCACCCCATTTTTCCTCTGGTCTTCTGCTCTCCTTAATATTATATTTTTTCTACTTATTCTTATTCCTCAACTCACTTACTTCCTACTCGAGCAATATCATTCTCATTCATTTTTATCTTCCACTCGGTATCCCAATCTTACTCTACTCTTAGTCTCAGTTACTATGATCAGAGAGCGAAGAGCGAGCTTATTCCTTTTATTTCCTCCCCTTTAGCTATTGACTCGCTCGGGTTTTATATGTATAAACGCGCGCCCTAAGTGCCTCATAATCTAATTCAACTTTATTATTTATCAACCATGCTTTGAAACAAACATTCATTCAAGTTTTTTAATCTCACAACTCGAAACTCCCAACTCAAAACTCTTATAATCAATAATTCGAATTTTACTATCGTGAAATAACCTTGGGCCATAAATTTAACAGTTTCACAGTGAGCATATACATAATACAGAGCTTTTCTTTCTTCACTCTTTCTCATCCTAATTTTAGCTTTTTCTCCAATCTACCACTTACTATACTATACATCCATGCAGTAACAAGAGTTTCGGACGAGTGCTGTGATTAATATTACGAGAGTTTCCGTAACTCGTAAAGTTTAGCATACGTAGTTAGAGTACTTACCAACGCTGGCTCGTGGCCGTACGTCCTTTTCTGGCTTTCTCCTTCCCTCTTATTCTTCCTTCCACCCCCTTCCTCCCACAATCCAATCCTCCCAATCTCCTGTACATACACTTACACTACTTAGATTGGAGATATAGAAGCAGAAAAAGCTCAAGAGGGCGCGGAGAAACACCCATGGTTTTAAAGTTGTAAAGAATGGCGCCCACCCACTCTTCTTTTTTTTTCTTGAGCATGTAATGCCAGTGTATAAGAACCGATCCCATCGACACTGTTAATTTATAGCCAAGTTAAACCGTTAATATCTGCTTTCGCAGGCATTAAATCAATGGAAAATATTCTAATTGGAATATGAAAAAAGTTAGTGTGCCTGGCAAAGTGCCTCACTTCCCGTCTACGTGCTTCTCTCTCCATTAGGGAAAGAAATCTGTGTGTATATCTCCAGACAAAGACCAAGGAGTCGAGGGTGAGGGATCATAAACTCGAAAAAAGCTAAATTATTAATGCCTATAAAGTCTTATTGTATTTTTCTTTCGATGGATAAATTATGTATTTAATTTATTTAATAATTTTGTGTGTGTTTGCTGAAGTTTAGATTTAGAGTTATAAGTAATTTATTTGTAAATTTGAATTTGTGAGCTGGAGTATTGCACATCAGAACACCATGTCGCCATTGTCCCACGTGTGCAGGCGTTCAATCTAGTTCTGCAACTACTGTATTCCGAATTTTAGTTGTGTATGTGTATGAATTGATAAACACAATAGTGTATGCTAATTGGCTGAATCACGATGTATTACCGATGATACCACCCGCTTGGTATTGTATGGCCATGGAAGTATTATCGGATACAAACATATATATCCGAAACGGATTCAATTGGCTAACGCTTCATAATAGCTTCGCACTGACCGATAATATGAAAATTATCATAAATGTCACGGTATTGTAAGAGCTTGATTGCATTTACCAAATCGATTTAATCGCCCGTTACTCAATGATAATCTGTTGTTTTTATTTTTAAAAGTTTTCGTGTGGGATTAAGGCTATGTTAACAATATTAAAAATTGGGATTCATTTTTCAATTAGGGGATTTTCATT